GCTTTGTGGATGCTGGTAGTGATTCCGGATGTGGGGAGTACGTTTCCTTTGCAATCGACAAACACACAAACGCTGATTGGCAGTAAAACAAGTGAAAACACATAGAGAACGTACCCACCAACTAATCGAGCAATAGTCATGCCACGTTGTTCATTTGTTGAATGTACTTCTGGTTGAATTGAAACATACACTATAATAGTCACCGCAAAATAAAAGGTCTGCCCTATACCCCCCATAAACGCTCCAATCAAATTTGCTCTGACTTGGTCTACACTATCAAAGCAGTCCAATATAAATGCTCGGTAAGACAATTGTATCGCGTTGATGCCAATGGTCCAGAGGATGTTCCCGATCACAAAAAAGATGTCCGAAACAATCTGAAGTGTGTTGTTCGCCTCAAAGCTGTTGATCGAAAGTAATGGGTAGATACCAGAGCATGATATAACAACACCTCCAATCACAAACACAACAAGGCCAGCAATCATAAAAGGACGTCGTCGGCCGTAACTGAAACTTGAGTGATCTGAAATAGCACCAATTAAGATCTGGAAAAAAAGACCAAATATAGGTCCGATGGTCATTTTAATAACCGTTTGCGCTGTTGGATTTGTGTGGAAAGGAGTTACACAGTCCAAGAAAAATAAAGAAGTGATCGGAACGCTATCTGAAGGGTTATTGTATCGTTGGAATTAAGATGAAAGCTTCTTAGAACAACAAACAGGCAAATTCAATACCAATTTGCACTAAGTTAATCACAAAGATGTAAAACCACACTCGCAACAACATCAAAAGTGTTGTTCGATTTGTTTTTTTTAAAGATCAAAAACAACGACTCAGTTTCAAATTGCAATAACATTTTAAATATTATTTTTCTTTTTGTTATATATAACATTTTATTTGTCTTTTTTCTTTTTTTATTGTTTTTTGGAAAATAATAAAAATAAGATTGGGTTTGTGGAATGAGTGGTGATGCAATTTACTCAGAATTTGTGACGGAAATTGCGTACCAGATGCTTACGTCGACACGAATAACAACCGAAGACGAAAAAGAGAAAGAACGTGATATTAATAAAGATAACTTCAAAGAGATGTCAACGCTTGACTGTATTTTTTTTGTAGTAGATTTGATTTCTGAATGCCAAAGCAGTGTGTTTCAGTGGGATGCCATTAATTTAGGATTATAGTAAACATTCTTTTGTAATTAGTTATCAAAAACTTTGTGATTGAAACTAATCTATTTTGAATAATTTTTTAATAAAAAAAATATTATTATATTATATTATATTATATTATCATTTTCATTTTTTTCAAAACAAAAATAATTATGAAGTGCTTAAGACAACATTGTTATTTACTCAAAACTTGTTTGTTTAATCTTATTCAACAAAGATTTGACCTTAAAAGACGGCGATTTTGTTTTTTTCGTTTGCCTATTTTGAATAAAAATGTTTAAGAAAATAACAACTTCGAATCAAGTACTCTATATTGTTATAAAAGATTGTATCTCCTGATTTTTATTGGAATGAAGTTTAATATTATATCAATTTATTTGGTGTCAGTTGTTTGTTATTGTTTAATGAAGCATTACATACACAATTTAAATGAAATCAATTTAACATACATATGTGATACTTTATTTAAGTTGTGTTCAATTATTGAATTATAAAATATAAATAATCATACTTAAAAAAGTTATTTATTTACCATATCATGTTTTATTTGCATAATTCATTTTTGTTATATTTAAAATTCTAAAAAAATGAAAAATTATTCAAGTCAAATAATCAATTTCTCAACTTATCAAATCACATCATCTTTAAAATTAAAACTGAAAATTTCAGTTGTCTATGGACCACTTTAAAGAACGCACACCACCACCACTTAGAACGGACTTATTAACCAAATTTAAACAAATGATAATAGCACTTCCAAACACCGCCATTGTCCTCGGAGACAAATTTGATGACATTTTTTCAACAACATCGCTTGAAGTCTTTTTGACAAAACTTAAGGTCGTCTTCGCAGATTTTGTCAACGACAAAACAGTCGAAGAAGCAAAACGGAAGGAGATCATCAGTTCGTTTGAGTTTTATTCAGATAGACTTCTCGATTTATACACCCTTTCTTAGTTTGTTATATAAAACATTCCAGAAAATGTTTTTCTTGTTGCCAAGATTGTTTTAGTGGGGTTTGGAAATGTCATTAACAACAAGCGAAGGGAATGAAGAGGAAATGAAAAATTATAGCCATTTGGCACTTGGGAGACTTCCAAAAAAGGAGGAATTAATGAAATCCATGGACTCGACTAAAAGTGAGGGGAATGGAGGGAAGGAAACACTCCCATCATTACCATCTTTGCTTCTCAAAAAGATATCAGAGGCTGACTCGACAACTTTGAAGAAGGTTGTTGATGCGGTGTCGCCAAACAACTCATCGTGGAATTGTCAAATATTTTTGGATGACCTTAGCGGCGAGGCGATGGATAAGTTGGTGGAACTTTTTGAAATCACCCCGACGCAGTATTGCTGTTCAAAGACGGAATAAATGTGTGCGATAAGTGAATTTGATTGTTTGTTTGGGAATCTTGCTTAAAACTATAATTATATAGTACTCTAATTAATACTTTACTAGTACTATAGTACTAGAAAGACCAACTGCAAACTCGAAAAGAGATTTGATATGGATAGGCCGCCATCATACGACAAGAACGATATATTAGAACAACTGACTGTTTATCAGTTATTATTAAACAAACCGAAATTGGTGTATGACATCATGCAATTTGAGGAATTCAAAACGTTTTATGGAGAGAATTCAGGGTTCCAAAAATTACGAACGGCCGTTAAAGGGATACCAGGGTATTGGTATCATGTGCTGGAAAATAGTTGCTATTTGGAGCTATCATTTGTTAACGAGAACGACAAGGAAGTGTTAAAAAACATCACCGACATTAATGTGGATATGATGGAGGGTGTCATTGAGAACGGAACGGAAGACCATTTTAAACTCTCTTTCAGGATCACTTTTCAATTCAACGACAACGTTTTTTTGAAGGGCAATGACGTCTGCATCGGGTTTGTATTTTATCCGCAACAATCGCGTAACTACCCGGCCGAGTTGCGAGGGAGTGAGGTCGAATTTAAAGAAGGCAAAGATATTCATTTGGTCAATGGCACATTTAAACACTCATTTTTCGATTTGTTCCTTCTCGAAAGTCGTGTGTTGATGGATAAAAATATGATTGTCGATTTACTGGATAATTGGTTAATTCTACTCAATGATGTTCTGAGAAACTCAATGCACTACTTCAAAGGAACTGCTTTGGAATACACAATAGAAGACGACGAAATCAATAGAGTCCTTCAATGGGAAAGAAAAATGGAAAACCTAAGACTCCACCCCGAACAAACTCAAAGAACTGAAGAGAGCGAGGAGGCTACATTCAACAACCCCATAAACACACAACCAAAAGAGGGAAACGTGACTGACCTTCTCGACTGAAAATAAATGTTATTTAAAATGTTATTTAAATGGGTTTGATTTTTTTTGTTTTTGAATATCGGATCTTGAAATTAAAGAACTCAAAATGTAACATTTCAGTTCTTCAATCGTTTTTTTTGTTTCCCGATTTTGTTCGCCCATTCGTTGTGATTTGCCTAAAAAAGCTACCCTGGCAAGTAAAAAACCATAGCTTGTAGTTAAATAAATTAATAGTAACTAGTTTATTTAAGATTGTTTTTATCTATATCTATATCTATTTCCATTTTTATTTATTATTAGAATGATGAGAAAACATAAAATGAGAAAACTGAAACTTTTCTTCAAAGTTCGGTTTTGCTTTTTCAGGTCAACTTACTAAAATAATAATATATTTATAGTAAAAAGAACAAACATTTTAAAATAATTTCTGTAAAGAACTTTACAATTAACATTTTTTGAATAATCACCAAATCATTAAGTATAGTTACTTTTATTATATTAAAAACAAATCAATAATCAGAAAACAATATATCAAAATAGATGTCAAGTTGTGTGAAAAGAAAACGGAATATTTTTGGGAAATCTATTCAAAACTTTTCGCTGTCCTTTCATAAGTCATTTATTTTTAATTTTTTATTTATGTTTTTGTTTTTCTTTGTTCTTTTAATAAAAAAATAATAAAAACAACTATAAGTAATATAATTTCACTTCAAATACCACCACCCTTTATTTTGAAGGACAAGAAAAGATGATTTCATGGTTTTCAAATGTCCCAATTATCCCCCAAAATCAAATGATTGACATCTAAAATTCACAATAATTATTCTTGGTTTGAGGTTCAAGACTCTGTCACCAAAAAACAATAAAAAGAAAGTTATATTTTTTTTAATAAATAATATTACAGAGAAAGAAAACTATTATAAATGAAAACAAGGTATACAATAACTTAGACATTAAAGTGATAAATTTGTTTAAAGGATTTAGAGAATAGAAAAGCACACTTTTCAGCAAAGTTTTACATAAGTAACCAGAATTAAAAATCAAGAATGTTCATAATTCTATCGTGGCCGAACTTCAAAAGTACACAACTTGAAAAAACAAAGTCACAAATGTTTAAATTCTTTGCCTCAAAAGAGGAGACTCTCTTGAACAAGGCAACAAAGAACGACCCAAGCCGCATCCCAAAAGACATTCTTTCTAAGATACATTTAGTCATGAATGACCCAATTGAATCACAACAACTGCACCACGAGATCTTACGACGACTCGACTTAACTCTTCTTCCAAATGAATTTTTAAAACTATTATGTGTTGTGTTTTATGTCCTTAAGAAAGATACTAAAAATTCTTTTCTGAACAAAATTATGACAAATGATGTTAAGTTCATCACAAAGATACCGGAAAAATATCGATCTGCTGATGAAAAAGAACTTTGTATTGCGTTTGCAAATCACTTGGATTGGTATGTCACTCTCTACTCAACAGACACTCCCGCAATTGATATTAACATTTCTCCAGAACAAATATCACAATTTCACTCTGACATCTCATCGGAACGGACCATCATTTCTCTGTTTTCAATGTTCTGCAATTTGACAGCACTCAATTGGGAAAACGAGAGGTTTTTTGTGAACAAATTGTTTTCTTTTGTTATTATGTATCTGATCAGAGAACTCTCAACAACGTTTTATCGATTATGTTGTTACATCATTGTTTATTTTTCATTCATGGCAAAGGGTCAATCGTCAAGGTCAATGCAACAGATAAAAATATTAGCAAAGTTTGAGGAGTCACAGGTGGCGTTTGAGAAGATCTTACAGAGCGATACCGTCAAAATCTATTTTTCAGACGCTCCGTCTTACGACCCAGTGAACGTTCGGAGGTTATTTGATTTGCTTCAAATATCGTCCAACATGTCGCAAGGCATTTCTGTGTCAACGACTGGAACTGTTGATACTAAAGAAAGTGTGGTTGAGTCTAAACAATTAGAAGACGATATTAGAAAAGAGACTGAAATATTTTCAATGCAAATTATACAGAAAATGGAAGAGTTTGAATACTTCACACGAATCAAATCGGACTCATCAACACCATCAAGAGTCGTTTCTAGAAGTACCTCGAAAACTCGGTTACCACCACCTGTGAGATATTCAGAGGAAGAGCCTTCATCAAGATTCTCGGGGTCTGAGAGTAATATTGTATGTAAGGCCACACCAGGAATATCGATACCTAAGAGCACCAAAGCGTTAAGAAGAATTTCAGTGTCATCCTGTCTCACTAGGAGTACTAACAACGACGAGCAGCCTTTCGCTCTGAGTGGGGATTTGTGTCATTAATGTTTTTATATTGGTTTTGTTATTTGGTCGACACATTTTGATGTAACTTATTTAAAAACAATACAAATTGTTTTTCTATAACTGAAAATTTTCATTTTCAAGTTCTTTTCCTCAAAGTCAATTATGCGAAAAGTGACAGTTTATCCCTATCTATTGAATTGATTGGGCTTAACTATTTCAAGTATACAACGGTCTTTGATATTCGAAGGCAAATTGTGTAAACCAACTTGGTTATAACTTAATATGATACGTTCAAACATGGTTGGCCAAATTTGTTTTTTAATTATATATTATAATATAATTAACTATGACGTATGGTTATTGTTTTTAATTTGGTCACCCTGATACAACGAATTATTTGCTTACGAACTGGCACATATGTCTTGTGGTGGTTTGAAGCGGGAAAATAGGTCACTTAATGCAAAATACCCCAACAAATTGAACTTACATTTTGTTAGTGGCGAAATGTGTTGGTGAGATTCAAAAAGTGTGCATTTGCTAAATCTTTTTCAGACAAAATCGATATATAATGGAAATTGAAAAAGTGGGGTATAAAACCAAATTTGGTTAAACAAACTAGAATACTAAAGTAGTTGTTGAAGACATATTAGTTTTTTAATTGTTACCCAATGAAATAGTCATGAATCCCTATTGTTTTAGACCAAATATTATATCATGAAACCCCTTAAATTTACTAGAAAATCACTCTATTAAATGAAAGTGTTTTTTAATTCTTATCTTTTTTTAGTATTTTGTTTTCTATTTTACATGTTTTTTTTAATTATTACGGTTAAAAAATATGGAAAAGACTGGGATTTAAAAAAGGACAAATCAAAATGTACCCCTAATATCTATAAGCCGAAATTCTTTTAATTTCCGGGACTTGAGGAATTATCTATGATAATTCAAATTAGAAGTAATTGATATTTTAACTTAATAAGTATAATAATGATAACAAATTTTGGGAAATTCAGACTCAGAATAGACTTGCAAACCAAGTTGACATTTAACTTGGCAAAGTATTCAACTTTTACCACAAAAAAAGACGAGAAAGGCTGGGAATGCCGTAGGAATTCTTGCATTCTTTTCTTCGTTACTTTGCATTATTTTAGGAAAATATGTCCGCTACGATTGGCCAAAAATTTCGAAAAAAAATGAAAAAAAATAAAAACCCAATAGAATGAATAAAAATAATTCTCGTGATTTACAGTTCTTTTCAAAAAGAAAAGCAAATGGGACATCCCGTTCACAAGCAAGAATAATAAGCGACATTGTATCATTCAGTCTTTTTCCATTGTATTTTAAGAACTACAGATAAAATTATACTTTTAGTTTATGCGACTCAAACTCCCGAATCTATAGTCTAATAGTTCCTCTAAAAAACAATCAACCCAAACAGATAGACATAAAAGGTAAAAATAGATAACATAATTTTGACGTGGCGTGTATCATTTATCAGTTTCGAACAGGATCTCTAAAACAATGCAAACTTCGGAAATGACGCAGTACTGCAATGCTAGGAAATTCCCCGTATTTGACCCGGTCGACTCTACACCGGTTAGCGAAGAGAATGAACCATATCACCTCAAGCTTTGCTTCTGCCCTTTGTGCACCAAAGGAATGACTGTCTTATCAAAAGAGCGTTCAAGAAATGTTATTTCTTGGCAATACATTTGTCGAGTCATTTTTTATTGTCTTTCCGTCGTGCATAAAAAGAATGGATACTTCTCTTTGAAATATGACGTTCATTGGTTTGTTTCTTTGGCATTTCATTCACTTCATTTGAATGTGGACTTACCTGTAGGTTTATAGTCGATCATTGGTACCTCTTTTCTCAACTCGAACAATGTTTGTTGCTTCTATATTTAACTTGAAATTTAAAACTCGAAATATGCAAGTGTAAATTACCAGTTCTAACGCCAACTTTTTTTCGCCGACTTTTTATAAAAAGAAGTACAATTACGTTGTCATAAACTATATTTATATAATATTTTTATTAGTATATAATAGTTTATTTGACTGTGTAAACAATGTTACATTTTAATTTTTTAATTATAATTGAATAACAACTGACATATAGTTCGGACTAATCCAAATAAGTGGAAAAAAGCTATCCTTGATGCAATGATACATTGCTCATTGTTTGAGTCTGGGAAGAGCACAATGAACAAAACTGGTGTCTGGAAACTTCGAAAGTATGAAGCACCATGGGAAGTTGCTGAGAACAGTACCGATGATGTTCAAAAGATGTCAATGGAATGTTCACAAGAGGAAAACACAACAGGGATGGACCTCGAACAAGACAAAAAGCTTGCACTCCCTTCACTTTCATCCCTTTATAAGTACGCAAACAACGATATGTCGATGTGTGGATCAACACCTATCCCACTTCCAAGTCTTGTAAAAGGTCTCTCCGAAAATTTCCAACTCGAGGATTTCAACGGCTTTATTCAAAGCATTGTTTGATGATGTATTTAGCGTTTTTTAATTCATTCTTACTGTTCATTTTAGTTTAGTATCATTAATTTACAATTTAAGTATAGTTTTTTTTATATGTAATGATTTGGATTTACCTTTAAAAATAGTATAATATATTTTATAATAGACTATTTATTATTTTTTTTATCATTGTATTATTTAATAAAATAAATTATTATAAAAAGCTATAATAGTTTATTATTATATTATTTGTTGTGTTGTTTTTTACTTCTTCAATTTTTTGTGATAAACACTTATAGAATTTTGGCACAGAAAAAAACTTGAAATATCATTTTTTTGTTTTTAAAAATGTTTTTATTGATTTTGGATAAAATATGTTTTTGTCATAACAAATAAACAAAGAACTTATCAACACACATAAATAGTTTACATTATTAAAGTCACATGATTCAGTTGTCCTTCTTTTTATCAATATCAGATTTCATCTTTGCAAACAAATCGACAGGTGGTTGCTTCTCTGGAATTTTGAATTTCATCGAAACTGTTTTAATGATTTCATCGACAACAGGAATTGATCGACAATCTTCAAGTCTCTGATTGAGTTGTTTGACTGATTGTTTAAACACGACGTTTTCTGTGAACGGCAATGAAACTGTTCGCAATATTTTGTCTAACAAAAATAGAGCGTTGTTGACCAACCCTTTGTATTGAATTTGATCACTTTTCCGATGTAACACATTCAAAACCTGTTGAGAAAGTTCAATACAAGACAACACATAATCAAGCACAAACAACGGATTCCTCTCTTCAACGTATTTGACTAACACTTTCCTCTGCACTCTGTCGGCAACACAGATCGCATCAATATCATCTTGCGCTTTTGCCAATATGTTGAAGAAGATGCGAAGAAAATTTGAGTAATTAAATGCAAGCTCGAGACACCTCTGTGTTGGAGTTAATGCGTCCGCCTGTGCGTTCAAACAGATCATTTTCGTTGGAGGTCTTTTGAATAAGCAAAGTGGAAGAGAAATGTTAATCGAGAATTTGTCCACTTCAAAGAACATATCCAGCGCTTGATATATAAGAAGCTCGACAGTGTCGTTTGAAAATATCGGGGAATAATAATTGAATGTCGAGAAACAGCAAACACACATTGAAAAACACGTCAAGTCATCACGGATTTTCGGAAAGACATCCATCAGCATTGAATGGGCGTTCATCTGAAATTGGTTGAACACAAGCACCAAATTGTTTATCAACAACAAGTCCGTCAAAATGACTTCTCTCATTTCGTAGAGTACAGTGTAGTTCTCCGGTTTGATCTCCGATACCTGACTGATTATTTCAAACAACACAGTAATGTAGCTTTGCGTCTTCAAAAAGTCCGAAGAAAGTGGTGCCGTTAATCCAATCAAATTATTGAGTACCACCGTCATAACTTCTAACGTTTTCGAATGATTAAAATCGATCCGCGTCAACAACAATTGGAGCAAATTAAACATTTGTGTGATCCCAAGTGGGAGTTGTTCGAACCCACCAACATATATGATTTGTCTGTCTTTGTGCTTTTGATAGAAGAACTCGATCTTTGATATGATAAATTCCAAGTCCGTGTGATATACCATGCTTTCATATTGATAATCTTTTGGTTGTGTATTGTCGATTAAAAATTGAATGAAGTGTTGTTGGTCGAGTGTCAGTTCCTTTTCGAGGCGAAAGTTATTCAGCGTCTGTACGAATATTTGTTTAGTGCTTTCGGAGAGAAATAACAACGATTGAATAACTCCAGGGAGTAAGTTCTCTTCGTTGAAATATTTGTCTAACAACACAACAATAAAATCGACGATGTTTTGTCCATTAAGTTTTGTGTGCACAATCATTTGCTGGAAAAACATCGTCACAAATGCAAACCTCTTTTCGTTTGTTTGTTCCTTTAACGCGTGTACAAACTGCTTTGCTGCGTCATTCAAATCCTCGTCTGGAAACAGTTTGACTTCAAGATAAAACAAAAACAGTGCGCGGTTGTATTGTTGCATTGACAAAATAAACAAATCATTCAGCCCAGTATTCAATTTCAGATACGTTCTGAATCCCGCGTCTTCATGAACACATTGTGTTAACACGTATATTGTGAATTCATCTCTTTGTGTTATTTAACGTTTCTAAATATTTAAATAAGTTACCAGTGAAGAATAGTAATGACAACAATGGTGGTCCTTAATTTAATAAGTACTATATATTTAATAGTATATCAACACCAAAGTAACAAACAGATGTGGAAGTTGTTGGACTATGAATTTTGAAAAAACAGCATACGACCCTTTCGCTAAATACTCAAAAAGTAAAAGTATGACGTGGCTATCAATCAACTCAGGTTTGTTTGATATGAGCGATAAATAATCCGAGAAACTGTAGTGTTCGATAGGTCCACCAACCTCGTCTTGAAAATTGGACCGTAAACGTGGTTCGTGTGTGCGTCGACGAGTCGAAAAAACACTCCCAGAAACGTCCTCTGAAATTAACTTGAAAACAGAGTAATTACCGATAAACGAACTCTCTGACTCGGGGGAGTTGAGGCCAACCTGAACTTGCGAAAACGATTCGTCGAAGCGAGACATCCCTCTGTTTGGGTTATTTTGTAATTCTCTTATAATTAATAGTTTTATTTTTATCTCTTTTTCATACTCTTTTTTTTCCACTCTTCTATCCTTTCATTCCGGGATTATCATTCTTTTTGTTTTCTCAATGAAAAAGTATTAGTTAAATCTTCTATATTAATTTAGGCAATTTTGATTATTCTATTACCTTCATTTTTTGTCTTTTTTTTAAGTGTTATTATTATTATAATTATATTGTTTATAAAACTATTGTTTTTAATACACATTTAATATGTATATAAATTATTAATTTATATATCAAATGGTACATAAAAATACACAACAATAATTTAATAAAAATTAATATAATATTTAGTAAAATAAATAAAAAAAAACACAAAATATAATAAATAGAATTATAAAATATAGTTAATAAATCAACCACAGTATATATAAATGATTTATTATTACCATATATTAATTTTTTTTTATAGTAAATTAGACAAAATACCATTAAATTCAAATTTAAATAATAATTTTACTAATTATAATATCTCAAATAAACTTTTGTCTAACCATTTTGCATAATAAAAAGTGAATTATATAATTTGTCAATCTTTTACACAATAAAAAATAAAATGATTCACTCAAAACGAAATAACAAAACACTTGTTAACACATTTTTATATCCCGAAAAATGAGTCAATTAAGTACTAATAAAACAATACTTTATAGAGGTTTTTAATTAAGTAAACAAGATCTTATTTGTAGTTTAGAGCAAATGAACTGAAAAAAGTAATGTTGTTAGCCTTATTCTTGTCACTTGTGCTCTCTCTTACAGTTGAACCGATTGACTTCTTAAAGGGAGACGCAACAAAGAATCATGTAGTCATCTCAGCTGTTCACTCGAACGTACCCAATTATGTTGGGAATGTCTATGCGTACAGAGAGAAAAGTTCTGACACGGTCATGAACATAGTAGTGGAGATGAATGGTCAAAGTAAAGTCACCAAATACGAGTCGAGTCAATTGACTCGACCACAAATTGGGTTTGCGAAGAACAACATGTATATAATGAACCACGGAAACATCGATGTGTATAACTTGAATAGCTCAGTGTTGACTTCCAAACCGGCTATACTCTCAGGAGTCGAGTCTTTTTCCCCATTAACTGTTATCACCAAAGAATTTGTGACTGGGAAGCAAGAAGTCTTTCTTGTTGTGTGTAGAAATGGCGGACTTGCTGTATATAATGAAACATTTGCTGTTGTTCAACAAACGACAAACCCATGTGGCAACTACACTTCATTTGGATCAAATTACTTGATGGTCAAAAGTGACGTCGATATCGAGTTATACACGTTCAATAGTCCAGGCGTGTTAACGTTTTATGATAATATCGAATTTGCAGATGCCACATCACAGACTGTTGCTACCGACCCCGCAGTCATCAACGAATTTGATGTCATCTACACACTCATTTCAGACAAAAACAAAGTCCAAGTCAACTCACCAAATGCATACAAAAGTCCTGTTTTCATCACCAATGTGTTTATCAACCCATATGGTTCTGCTGCAATAAACACTTTTATTGATACCAACTCCACTTCGTTGTTAGCAACATACAACTCATTTTTGCTTATTGGAGCAGTTGGATATGCTGCTGGTATTAAAGAGAGAACTGGTGGCGCATACCTTTTTTTTGATAAATACTTGGTCACCCAAAGAGAACGATTTGAGAGAGTGTGGTCTGTTAATGGATCACTGTCGTATGATTACATGGGCTATGTCGTTGCGATGGATCAAAACAATGTCTATCTTGGAGGAAAAGTTAAATTAGAAACAAATGGAAGTTTGACTGGCGTGAAAATCGATGTGTCCAAATTCACTAAAAACTATTGCACGGGCGTGATATGTTCTTGCCCACAAGGATACTATTATAACTCGTACTTTAGACAATGTTTCAAACAAGTTGGTGGTGTAAGTTCTATTATCATCGCAATTGTATGTGTGTTTGTACTCATTTTACTTGTTGGCTTCATTAGTGTGATGTACAACAAATGGAGTAAAAAGGGTAAGAAAATGATTGTCGTAGATGGGACATCATATGCCTTCACACAACTGAATGAGATCCAAATCACTTTATCTTCCGAAGTTCTTACATTTGGATATGAAAATGGCAAGTTGGCGCCTATTAACACTTCACTCCAACAAAGTGTGACAATAACAAATAACTCGATGACGACGAAGAAATTCTCGTTAGAGCTGAAACCGTCATATAAATTCACTATCAATGCGAACACAACAAACTTCGTAATCAAATCTCAAGACAACGCCACTGTTATATTTACGATTACAATGAATTGTACATGCAAAACAGACGACGATGACTGGATCGGCTTTAGAGTGACTGAAGAAAAGGATGAAAGTTCCCCACAATTTATTAACGCAACAATCGATATAACAACAGAGGATAGTGTCTTTATAGACTATAAAACAGTGGCTTTTAACAGAGCTATTGCGAACGGACCAAACTCGGAGACGGTTCTTGTGAATTATAAGGAGAAACCATTTGCTATGAAAAAGTTTAGAAGTGCATTTGATGATGAGTTAATTGGTTTAATGAGAAATAAAGTTCTCGCGTGGAAGAAACTTGAGAACGCGTTCATTCTGCCGGTATCTTTTGCGTCACTTGCACAGGACAACTACGCGATTTTGACGGGATACTCTATTATTGGCAATTTAAAAACACTTTCAAGTCAACAGGACACACCGTATCAACTCATTTGGAGATGTCTTGTTAATGCAGCA